GTCGATCAGATATCCGGAATCCGAGCTGACGCATGCCATCGTGATAGTGAAGTCCAACACAATATTACTGTATCATAGTGTCCATACATGTAGTCCCATGAGGGCTATGAAAACTAGCCCAACTGGGTCAGCACGCAGGAGGGCGGTAGGAGTATCTGAGGGAAAATTAATGGGAAGGTGAAAAATGGTACTAGTACCAGGATGTAAGGCGCGAGATGTGCTCGCGAAGTCAGTACAGATGCCAATAGGCAAACTGCAGAGAAAATGTGCATGTGCAGCCGTGCAGCCGTGCAGCTTAGGACACCCCGGGTTTCCACATCCATGCCAGCCCTTCCCCCAACTCAAGCTATTCACAATACCGATACCGTATATGAAGGGATGCTCTAACACTGGCAGGATTAGCGCATGTGAGTGATATCCTGTGACGCTCCGGGGTGCAAGAAGGACTGCAGGCAGTTTGCAGAGTGGGGATGCGGATGACGTCGTTTTCTATTAAACATCAATCAATACCGCTGCGAAAAGGATGCGAAGACGCCGAACATTACATACATTTTCTCCATGCTGCACTTCAATAGCTTGCCACTCGAGGACTCTACTTCGTTATTCTGACTAGTCCGGCACGCTCTACCACCCCCCCCTCGTAGTTCCCAGGGTCTTCCACGCTGGTGGAAACTAGTAGCCCACTCTTGTCGCTATAGTCCGGAAAAACGGCTGGCAATCCGGTAGATCGTTTTGTCCGCCTATCCCCCATGTGGAGGGCTGAAGTGCTACGCGAATAACTGGTAACAGGGCGAAAAAATTATGGCCGCATATCGCTTATGTTCCTCCGGAGTGCCCGCCGCGCGCGCTGACTTATTGTCTCCAAACCTCACCCCACTCCCACCGGAGACGCAGCACCGCAGCAAGGCAGTTGGCACTTAATCGGGTTTTGGGTGGTCGGGTCCGGGAATCTTCTTGTGTCCTTCCAGTGCCAGCCGATGCCATGCCTCTGATTAATTACTTTTTTCCCGGCATCAGAGCACCATAGCCAGGTCGCTGAAACTTGTTAGGTGTATGGGTGGCCGGGTCCAAGAATGTTCCCGCGCCCCTCCCGTGCTCACCGATCTATCGTCTCTGATTCGGCAATGTAAGGGAGCACACGGGAAAGCAGAAGTTCAAGGCTATGCTCGCCTGTGCCAAGGTCGGAAACCTGGGCGAATAAAGGGGTTATACTTACTACGGATTTTTTTTGGTAGTTATAATGCAAGTACTACATTTCTGCCTAATCTGTAATCACAAATTTTGTTCAGTCAAGTTAAGACTATATCTCTAAGACCTGAACCTTCCCAGCTTCATTCCCGATGGTTACGATTCCCCTCTCCTTCCCTGCGCAACCTACCGCCATAGCTCTTTCCAAAGGAGTCCAAGACGTAGAGCATTTCGTGTAGACCGCACAAGCAAGAGAATGCACTGCAAACAAGTTAACATCATTCATTAGATAGCCAGCCATATAAAGGTCATGACGTGAACGTGCCCACCCTCCAAGCGCCCTTCTTCCATTGACTCCCCCTTAACAAGGATCCGGCGGTCAGGCAGGGACCCGATAATGCCGATGGCCCTGACCAATCGCCCGCGTACCCTACGTGGCTTTGGATTTTTGTTTGATCCGCCGATGAGGGCATTCCTACCGCCACCGTAGCTCCTAGTGCGATCGGATATTTACGATCCTGTTATGGCCGCCGGTGGCGATCGACCCGGCCCCGCTGTTATTGAGTACCGTGGCCGTGTCAGCCCTGGTCTTTCCAGCGTGTAACCACCTTTCTCGAGGGTGCGTCTCATAACCTGGCCGCCTTACTCCCTGTCGTCAGGCCACCACTACCGCCCCACCAGGACACTTCTGCGCCCCAGCCTTCGGTCCTTACCGCGTGGGCTCACTGGTATGTTGGGTTCAGGACGTCGGTTAACTCACTGCTGGCGGTGAGAGCCGTGAATTTTCGGCCCCGCGAGATGTGGAAAGTCTCTCTTGACCTCTGCAGCTCCGTGTAAGCGTATTTTCGAGTTACTATTTGGATCGTGGCGCTCGACACGATGCACAGATATTTCCGCCCACCCGCGGCGGTTTCGATTGTGCCGGATAGGTGGAGGTGGGCGGTTGAGATAGGGGTGTTGTGCCGGTGTCTGGATCTCGCCCGGGGGGGGGGGGTCTGCAGTGCCGGTTGTGTAGTAGGGGCAGAGGGCTGAGTTGGGACCTGTGGAGAGGAGAAGGGAGTCGCGGGAGAGAAAGTGGAGGGTTGATGAAATTGGCTGGCGACCTGCTAATTCCTTGATGCTTAACAGAAGGGAGTTGGGGGTAGACCGAGTTACCGACAAACCCTTTTCCCATCCACAAACCTCACTACGGCCAACTCCTCCGGCCACAACTTCCCTAGAACAATAAATCACCAGTTTGTAGTGCTCCCTAGAATCTGTCTAACACAAGGCGCAGATATTACCGCCTCTTAATCCCCATATTCCTCCTCCGCCCCCACCACGCCTATGTCTTCATCACTACTCCCCACAGCTGCACAGTCTGGCCTCACCCTCTTCCTATCCGGAATACCAAAATGCAGCATACCGGGACTTGTTCCTATGAAAGAGGCCCTCGGTCGCGGTGTCGCAAAACTTATGGACCGGCCCCTTATGGCCAAAAAACTAGTCATCTTGAATCGCTTGTGGGTCCGCTCCTACATCCTCATGTCTGCTGTTGACCAGCGGTCCCTGGTCCTTCATCGCTGGCATTAGAAGATCCATCATCAACTTTGTTCATCCAGTCTGTGCACCCCTCTGCGTCGCCGAGTGATTGATCGAACCTTAGTTGGGGTGTGGGTCGGGGCTGGGATTCGGGATCCAAGCATCATTCGATCCGATTCGGCTTTTAGATTATGATTATCAGCTTCTGCACCTTTTATATTGGATTCCACCGCCATCCAACCCCCTCTGTAATTTCCTTCTCCTTCTGTCACTACCCGACCCCCCGATGAAGGTACTTTACATACAAATATTGGTCAATCTCCCCCGGTGCTACCAGACCACTACCGCACTCCCTAGCCCCAGCACCCAGTGCCTATGTAAAAATAACAACATACTACATCATTCCTCCAACTTACTACTCCGTTTGGGCTGGGATAGCTTTTCTCGTGGCGCCGTCAACTTCCGAATACATTCGGGAGTGGTGTGTTGTTCTCTCGGGGCGTTATAGCATCCCCCGCGAGCACGTTGAGAAGGTTTCCGGCTAAGGATATTACCTGTGTTTTGTTTTATACTGACCCAGTAGGCAGACCGGAAGTCTGCAGGTGCTGCTAGGTTCTATGTGCTCCCAGCCATCTACCTTGTTGCTCCATTCTAGTGAGTGCCAGCGTTTTATCCTAACCTCATCATGGTTTCCCCAGCCGCCAGATACGGGAGCGAGATTACCAACAGTAGTATGTATGGTACCGGTAGGATAGCCTGATTCCATTGCCTTCTCCTTCCCCTCTTGTGTGCACTGGATGATGGTTTCAGGATAATCAAAATTTTCTTTCTCCTACGCTAGTATAGCCAGGTTATTATCAGTTAATAGGGTTATGTCATTTAGTTATCTGATAAAGGACCGCTTCATGCGCCTCCCCTGTTATTTTCCACCGTCCGTGGACTTTGTACACAGAAGTCTCCTGTGTCGGGGAATGGTGTCCTAATTCCTTATCTGCCGGTGCCCCCTCTTCTTCCCTTCACTTCTCTCTTCTATCCCCCTCGCTACATCTCCCTCATCTTCCCAAGACTCCTTTTCTTCTCCTCATTGTCTCCCACCTCCGGGCTTTTAACCTCTTTTCCATACCTTTTCAACAAGATAGATAGCTCCTCCCTATCCACAGGTGAGTGGGTCCTGGATATTCCCCCCTCGAACAAATTACATATAATGAATGGCTGCGAAATTCTAGGGGTCTAAGTAAAATCTGGGATCGTAACGAACAATCCAGCGCAACTCAGGGTGCTGGGGCCGTCAGCAGTACTCCTGATGAGACGGTACGGTCGCGCGGAGAGGTAGTCGGCGGATTGTCATTCATGGACTGTCCAGCGTTGGTGGGCACTTGGTATTAGGGGATATAAGGGTACTGCAACTTTGCCGCTTAGAGTGTAACATGGCATATAGCACCCGTAATGCCATTGAGAAAGCCGGCGGGAAAGCGGCCAGATGGGGCGGTGGGACCTTGGTGGGCAATTCAGATTGTGATTTGGCACTCAGAGTCTGCGTAATAGTAATATCGAACGAGTGACTCTTGGTGACTGAAGGGAAGAGGGTACTGCAAGGATGATATGGGGTGAGAAGGCGCACGACATTCTTTTCTATTGAATAGGAACTAATATATCGAGAAAAGGGAAAGGAAAACAAGGGAAGATAAAATGCGGGAGGGTAAAAATGACCAATACTTCCTCCGCACTACACGTCGACTGCCCACCGGTCACGGCGTCGAGTTCGCTATTCTTGGTGGTCCTACGCGATCTACGGTTGTTCCCCTCGTAAATACGCACAGGCTTTCGCGCCAGTTGAATCTAACAGCCCGCTCCTGTCACCTCCAGTCCAACCAAACTGCCTACAGTAACAGGAGTCACTTTGTGGGCCTATCACCGTTGGGAAGACAACTCTCCTCCGCAAATAACTGACAACACGGCGTGCAAATCGTGGCCGCGTATGGTCTAGGGCTCCAGGAAGGGGCTCCTGTGGATGCAGCCCTGACGTCTGTGAATCATCAGACTCTCCTTGGAGTCGCAGCACCACCCCGAGGCGGGTGATACTTGCTTGGGCGGTGGGATGGTCTGGTCCCAGAATCTTCCCCCTCCCCGCCTGTCCACTCCCGTGCATCGCCTGGCCATTCATTATGCGTTTCCCGGGCCCGCAAGACAGTAGCTAGGTTGTTGGCGCACGTGATGGTGTCTGGGTGGTCTGGTCCAAGAATCCTCCCGCGCCCCTCTAGTGCACGCCGATGCATTGTCTCCGATTCGGCGTACTTTCCTTGTTCTCCCAGAGCACTAGCCAGGCCGGCGACGCTTGACAGGGTGTCCGGGTGGTCAGGTCCAAGAATCCTCTCGCGCCCCTCCAGTGCACGCCG